TGGATTTCGGGGCTGTTGTAGACTGTATTTCTGGATGACTGTATTTTTAAAAATTTATTTCTGCATTTCCTTTATTTATCTAAGCGGACAACTCTGCTTTGCAACATGGGGCACAGTGGAAGGGAACAGAAACACAAATGAGGCAAAAACCCTGTCCTAGAGTTAATGGCTTGTTGTGGGAATATTTGGGAGGAAGAAAACTTTCCTCTCTTATATTCAGTGATTGAGACCTGTGGATTAAATTAACGAAAGACAGATTAACAGGAGAGAAAAAAACAGTTTATTTACAGATGCAGTGTAAATACATGTGGGAAAACTCAGTGATGAGTAACTGAAAATGATGGGGTTTACCATCTTAATAGGGGCAGGGGAGCAGGAGAAAGGCACTTGTAGGAAAACCAGATGACGTTTCAGAAAGATGAATGGGTTTTCAGGAGAACAAATAGAAAATAAGAATGTTTGTAATGTTTGTCTATAGAAGTATGAGTGTCTTCTGTCTCCTTCAGGGCCATAAAACTCTCCCAGAGAAGGAATTTGGGACAAGTTTTACCTAAGTTTTCCCTTCTGGGAGTAGATCTGCCCTGAGGAAGAATTTATGGCAACCTTATTTCAAAGAAGCTGTTGCCTTTAGTTAGATAAGAGAAGCCAAAGAAAGCTTTTTTTCCCCTGCATCATTGAATCTCAAGTGTCTCCAGCTTAAAATAATCTTTATGCCAAAGTGGAATATTTGGGGGTGGCATATCCTGATTCCCTTCAGGAGGAAGACAGAAAACAAATCATTACAACATAATAACAATGGTTAGAAAAGAGAATAACATTTGAGACCTTACTGTGTCCTTAGATGCTTTATTATTTTAATAAAACCTAAAATTTTGTAGGAATTTTAACCCAATTTTATAATTAGAGCACAGAGAACCAACTAAGTGCTATAATAGTCATGAACATGCTATGGGAGCCCCAAAGCAATTTTACATGTTTTAATTCTGAAGACCAAAGCGTTCCCCTTACCTCTCTCTTCATGCATTCGGTTAACTCTGGATTCGGGCCAAATCCTGCCCTAGGAAGAGCCACCAAGTGGGAAGCCTGGCATAGCCCTGACAAATAAGGATAATGCGTCACTGCAGGGCTTTGAAGTTCTCAGGTTTGGAATCAGGACCAGCTCCTTGCTGGGAAGCCACAGATCTCGAGGGACACAGACAGGTAAGATTAGTTTATTCCTCTGAGCTTTTCAGTCTTCAGCGCTGCTTACAGTCTTAGGAGATCTGGTATTTGGGGGGTGGGGGGGATGATAGCACCCGGAGGTGGAGCTTACCTGGGAAAGCACAAGGGAACGGTACCCTGTTTTCTTCCCCCAGTGCTGGCGAGAGTTGTGGAAGGTGGACTGTAAACACGGGCAAATATTGACAGAAATCAAGGTCCTGGCAAGACCATTTGGCCCACATCTGCTGGGGAAGGATAAACCTGCAGTTCAAAATGACTGGTCAACTGGATTTGCATTCCCGGAAACTGGGGAATTTCCGAAACTGAGTTTTAAACCTGGCAGCACTTTTACCCTTCCTTTGTATCTTTGCAAAGTCTCTCCCCATACAACTTCCTTGCTGTTCTTATTTCCTGTTGTAGGATTTTTTTT